AAGCCCTAAACCCTGAACCCTACATCCTAAACCCTAAACCCTAAACCCTGAACCCTACATCCTAAACCCTAAACCCTGAACCCCAGTTCATGGCTGGTACAGCCCGAAAGCTCGAAAGTCCTTGTTCACCGTGGTCGTTGGACCCGAAGTCTTGACCCTCGAGTCTTGAAGGGTATATACGCCCTAAAGCTCCCTAAAAAGAATGCCCGACGAATCATAAAACCCTAAAAGCCGTAGAACAGCCCCATGTCAAACCCGTGATATGTACAGCAGGGTCCTTAGGAGGTTGCTCTGCTCAATCCCACCCGAAGCCAAACTAAACCCTAAACCCTAAACCCTAAACCATTTCTAATCAGACCCTTCGCAGTTTAGGTTTAGAGACGAAACGTTCCTCTAAAGGTTACCATAAGGGATACTAATACTGGCAGGGTTCTACGACATAGGGCTGAAAGCTTACCTGGCCCATGTACAGCCTTGTGTTTAAGGGATCATTATTACTTGGAGGATCATGGGACTTTGTAAGTAAGGTTATAAGTCCCCTAATTGGGGTTATAAGTATAGCTACCCTAGTTATAACCCTACTTACTAAGTCCCATGATCCTATAAGTAAGACTTCCTATAGAAGTTCTTGAAAAGGTGGGTTACATGGGGTCCAGCGAGAGGATTCGAAACCCCAGCAGCGAAGAGTCTGAGGGCGAAGGCGAAAGACCCCAGAAGGCCGCGTGGGGTTTAGGGTTTAGGATTTAGGGTTTGGGGTTTAGAGTTTTAGGGTTTAGGGTTTAGGGTTTAGGGGTTTAGGGATTAGGGTTTAGGGTTTAGGGTTTAGGGTGGCCGCGCCGATAGCAGCAGTGCCGTCGCCCCCTGCTGCACTTCCGCCAAACCTTCCAAAGCCTTCTTTACTGAAGTTGGACTGCAGAATTTCGGGGGCTCCCCATCTTAGTCCTGACAATGATGAACCTCTTAACCCTAATCCCCAAACCTCAAACCGTGAACCCTAAACCCTAAACCCCAAACCTCAAGCCTTTCAACCTTAAGCTCTAAACTAAGGATCAGACTTGGCTGCTGAAGACACAGAGTCTCTTTCATAGCCATATGGAGGCCGGCTGGGCATCGCATGGAGGTTTGAACAATGCTTAATCCCTTCCCCCTAATATTAAAGCCACCCACCCTAAACCCTAAACCCTAAACCCTAAACCCTAAACCCTATTAAAACTCGGATCTGGGGTGTGGGATTTTAATAATAGGGGGGTGTTTAATGATAGGGGGAAGCGATTAGTGGCATCCTCTTCCAGACTCTACCGTCCCTATATCCTTATGCCGAGAACTATCCCATATAGCCTTATACTAACTGTCCAAACCCCACGATGAACCCTTGTATAGTTTGGAAAGTCGAAAAATCCAGTTCGAACTCTCCCAGTTGAGGGGTTTCGGGTTTTCGAGATGGGGATCCCGGTTTCGCGGGACCTGAATAAATTAAACTGGTGCCTGTACTCCTTAGGGTTCGGGCTCCTCATTGAATTCCAACAATAAGACCAATGTACCCCCAAGACCCTGTTCCAACTTCGACACACAAATTTCGAGTACGCAAAGTTGTTCACCAGATTAGTGCCATTCTATACGCGGGGGGCGGGGTTCCTTCGAGTTTTGGATCCTAGTACTGTAAACCCTAAATCCAGGAACCCTAAACCCTAAACCCTAAACCCTAAACCCTAAACCCTAAACCCTAAACCCTAAACCCTAAACCCTAAACCTAAACCTGCTTCTTCGGGGGATCCCTACCTGTAGCTCTCTTTACCACACAGTTTAGCAGCCGTTTTCCCTCAACTAGTACTTAGAGGATCTTGGGACTTAGTAAGTAGGGTTATAATTAGGGTAACTATACTTATAACCCCAATTAGGGGACTTATAACCTTACTTACTAAGTCCCATGATCCTCCAAGTAGGTAGAACCCATAAAACTGTGGGTAGTTAGATTCCCAGGTATAGATTCTGTAGTAGCTGTAGTAGGGTTTTTTATTCAGAACCTACAAGAAGGTCGGTTCTAATAGCTTAAGGTAAACCCTGAACCCCGACTTCCTAAGCTCCCGAATTCCTCATGTAAACCGTAGTCTCTCGACGGAGAGCCGGCCATGTAACATAGAAGCCTAAATAATTAGTTATAACCCTTACCCTCCAAGGACTCATGTTTTAAGGCTTTTGGGCCCAAAGACCTTATTATATGAGGCTTTTGGGCTATTTTGGTGCCAAGGGTAATATCGCTTAGGGCTCCTTACTAGGATATGTATAGTATCATGGGCCCCAAAACCCTAAACCCTAAACCCTAATTGTCAAGGCTCCTACATTAAATCCTGAGCCACCTCTTCGGAAGAGAGCTGGGGTTTAGGGAGTTTGGCTCAGGATCGGGGGTGAAATGTGGGGGCCTGAATAAGTAGAATAGGGTTTTGGGGTATAGTATACTATAAATTAAATAAGGAACCACCCAAAACCCTATTTTAGGTATTAAGGTAGGGGCCTAAATAATTACCTGTATTATTATTTCGGTGGGGCTCCTTTTTATAGTTATAGTAAAACAGGCTCCAAAGCCCTATTCTAATTATGAAGGCCCTACATTACCTGAACCCCAAGAAGTCGGGGAACAATTGGCCCAACACCTATAGATTAAGAAGCTACATACGTTTGGGGGTCCAGGTAGGGTTGGCCCTTCAGAGCAAACCTTATCACCTCAACCTTAAAACCCTAAACCCTGTACCTCTATACCCCCTAAACCCCAAACCCTAACCCCCAAACCCTGAACCCGTAAACCCCTAAACCCTAAGCCCTAAACCCCTAAACTCCCACGCCCACTTGGAGGATCATGGGACTTAGTAAGTAAGGCCCCAAGCCCTGAACCCCTAAACCCCTAAACCCTAAGCCCTAAACCCCTAAACTCCCACGCCCACTTGGAGGATCATGGGACTTAGTAAGTAAGGTTATAAGTCCTTTAATTGGGGTTATAAGTATAGTTACCGCTATTATAACCCTACTTACCAAGTCCCATGATCCTTCAAGCCCCTAAACCCTTTTACCCGAAACCCTAAAGCCTGAACCCCTATCCCCTAAACCCTGAACCCCTATCCCCTAAACCCTGAACCCCTAAACCCCTAAACTCCCAAGCTTTAAGCCCCAAACCCCCCAAAGCCCTAAACCC